TGTTGTGAACTTCAGCAGTCGACAACTCTTCTTTCAGCATACATATGAAGAGAAATGCAGAGGAATACGACTGAAATGCATATCAGTCACACCGAGCATCACCACAACCAACTTTTGAAGCAACAAGAAAACATTCACAGTCCCTTACTTGGACAAACAACAAAAGTGTTCATACCTATCCACATTCAGCCCTCTTCGATACTGAATAGAGGGTTTAGTAWACCACTTCAACGACCACCACAGTAACGACTGGAGGCATTCTCACCTCCAGACCCACAAAACGACAGCTCCTTTTCAGCCCCTTATCGAATCTCCACTCAGGTCAATCGAGAAAGAAGAAGACGACTGTGAAAGCTGGCGACGAACCCARAAAGAGAACGGTAACAAGAAAGAAATAAGGATACAACCTTACAGCTCTGATACCATGTGAATAAACCCTAGTTGATTCTAGGTCAAAGTAGAGAAGAAGGAAGAAGAAAGAAAAGAGAAAGAAGGAGAAGAATGTTCGGCCAGACTAAAAGAGAGAATGTGAAAAGAAACTCTCCTAACCGACCCACTTGGATTAAACTCAGATACAATAGACCTTTCACTTCCAAGAAGATAAACCAGAATGACCAAAATACCCCTGACTCGAGCACTCTAACAGGAACAAATGTTGATTCTTCCTCACTACAAAACTCTAKGACAAGTTTTTTGAACCATGGGAGAATGACACAAATATCGAAGCAAGGAAGGAATCCATGGAGAATTAAATCAGTTTTCCTTTTCCAATTCTTATACCAATTTCAGAATTTTTGTGTTAAAAGGATATTGATATTTTTGTGTTTTTTAAATTTATTTTTCTAGTTGTAGCAGACTTAAGGATAAGGTTTTAAGTCTTCTAGAGTTTTATTGTTATTAATAAATCAAAATTACTATTTATGGTTACTTTTAGACTTACTATTTATTTTTCTAGTTGTAGCAGACATGGGTTCAAGTCTGAGAGCGGTCACTTTGTGCAAAAAAAAAAAAAAMCAATGGTTAGGACCTTATCCAGTCCACCCCTTCCGAGAACCCAGATATCTGGGACCAACATCAGGTAATGACTTTTTTTGGTTTCTTTAAATTAAGTTAGTTTTAGTAGGATTAGTAAAGTGATTTGATGAAATAAACTTTTGGTTGTAAATTCTGGTTGCTGCCAATAATTTTTATCTTTTTTTTTCTCCATGGGATGACACAAATAAACTCTTGCTCCTTCTTTGGTGTACACAAACTGTTTATTTGCCTCTCCATCTCTATTCTTCATTGTTTATTATCCAAATCTCCTTTTTATCACCCCACAAAGCCCACCACCATATTCAAAATTTGTAGGACCTCTATCTTGTCCTACATTAAGAGTTTATAGAGATTTGAGCTTGTTAAGGAATCTTGCAAACCAAATCAGTGTTCTTCAAGACTCTTTCATATACATTTTGTTTACACCCATCATTGGCAGGATGAAGCAGACTTAACATGTGATGAAAGAAACAAATCTTGTTTCATATATCAAATTACCAACTCAATAGAACGAGATTTGAACTTATTACATGGTTGCAGGAAAGATGTAGAGGTGTTCCCATCATCTAGAAAAAATTAAAAAAAAAAAAGTACAGCGCCTCTAGAAAGAACTAGTATTCATTACATTCCATGAGTGATATCTTTACCTGCTTCAATTAACTGCTTTTGTTGTTTGAAGTGTCTATGACCACCCAAAAACATAGTCAAGAATATAAACTAGCACCAGAGATATAGGATAGAGCACATATGCCACAAAAAACATCCATAAGGGGTAGGTGGTACGGAAGCTGGCAACAAGACCCATTATGATACAAACAATAAGGATGATAAGTACTTCAGATGTGAAATCCCATATCAAGTGCCTCACATAAACAAGCGCTAATAAGACAGCCAAACAAAGGAGGTTATTCATGGTTACTGCTCCATAGATCTGCATCAAATTACAGAGAGAGAATTTGTATTCAAAACTTCAAAAAGAGGGAGGGCTGCACATCAAAGGATGTCAGCATTTAGCAATATCCTCACATTCTGCGGTTTAGAAACTTGCAAATTTTCTTATGAATTTAAAGGGCTTTAATTTGTGGAATAAGATAGCATTACATGAACACTTTTAAAACGGGTCTCATATGTCCATTTCAGACCCAAGTGACCAGGTCAGTGTTTTAAAAATGTATAATGCTTATGCCTTGAGGCTCATGTTTGAAAGTACAAGACACATTCCTCACATCTTTAAATGCCTTGTGTGTGTGTGTGTGTGTGTGTATATACATATTGATGTATATATGTATGTACATATATGTATAGAGTTGGTGTGTTTAGACTTATGGTAATTATTAGAAGAGTTTGCTTTCTACTTGCTTTTTATTCCTTTTCACTATTATTATCCTCTTGTTTTAAGTCAGTAGGTGGTGACATTGAGGTTTAGAGGTTTCTTCTTCCAAAGCCCAATCTCTCCCAGAGAAAAGGCATTTGCATGGTTAGTGTCCGTGTAAAGCAAATACACAGGGAGAGAGGCTATAAAATGGCAAATAAATGTGTCATGTTTGGCATGAATGAGGAGAATGTGAAGCATCTCAAGCTTGGAACTATGTCAACATCTTTCTTCTCAATGTCTATGAAAAGCTAGTTCAGCCTATAGCATCTTCAAGATATATTGCCAAAATATCCAACTATGTCTGATACTGATAATCTAAGATCTTTTGGAGTATCATCTCCTTTGCAGTGTGTTGGAGCACTAAGAAGGGAAGTAACTGGAGAAACTTTGACAAGGCAAGTCCCTTAAAGTGTATATGTAAAGACAAGGTATCTCTTATTATTGATTAGATTTTGGTATTTCCTGGTTTTGAGGATATGGATAGGATTTCCTTTGGGAGGGATACTTGGACAGTTTTGGAACTCAAGGATATTGGACATACTTTTATAAAGAAACTTATCCTCATATCCAAATGATATCTTTTGAACACAATATACCAACGTGTCGTGTCACCAAAGGAGCTGAGGACTCCAAGGGTTTTTCCCAAATCACTTGTAAACTGCACAAGAACTAAGGGGTATAACCAAATGAATGAATTCCCAACTCTAAAGGCTTGTTTAATTATATTGAGGCAAACTATATGCAATTACAAATATTATTATAAATATGCCCTTAAAAAGTACAGAAGGCAGAACAAACTATTGGGCTATATACAAGCCCTCTGCCCACACCCTATATTCTATCTATCTCTTTTTGGCTTTTTGCTAACCTGAAAAAGTAAAAGAAAACAAAACAAAAAGTGAGGAAGAAGAGAGGAGAACAATAAAAGAAAAGGTGGGAAGCAAGGAGGAAGAAGAAAAGGGAGAACAGAAAGGAGAAGTCAAACTAGAATCACTTTACTATCAACCCAATATGTAACGGAGTGGAGCAAGAAGTTATCCTCACCTCCTCGTGTGAAGAAGGGTTGGCGTGTGACAGTCAACTTGCAGAAGCATCGACCAATTGGGGAAAAACTCCATTAATGAACTCTTTGACAGGTCAAAGGTGTCGGAATTTGAAAAGTCAGGAAGGAACGCTCAAAAAGGATTTTGAAAAGGCAAATTTTGAACAACCCATTTTCAATCGATACTACCCAGGGCTGGGCTGGGTAGTATCGATTTAAGCCCAAGTTATAAGAGTGGTGGGCCCAAGACCAGGACTCATTTAGGTAAAAGAACCCATGGACCGGTGAGGTTTGAGTTGAAGAGGTTGGAGACGGGCCCAGATAGTCTCTCTACAATGCATGTGACCAGCTTAAGTAGTGGTGCTTCAGCAAACCAACTTTATGGTCTATCTTCTTCTCATCAAGATGAACCTGGTGAAAGGAAAATAGAAAGGCTTTGTTTCAGGAAAAACAAGACGCATCTACAGTTGAGATCTAGGAAGCCTTCATTAGGTAGGATCTCCAATGGCTCTGAGCCCGCAATTGAAGATTCTCTACAAAAGCTCAAGGTCGTTGTCAAGGTGTGTGAGGCAAGTGCTCCTATGGAGACCGAAGAGGAGGGATCTCACATGAATGTCGATTTGCATATTAGTAAGAAGGATTTTTGCTATAGGAAAAGGAAAGCTGATAAGAGAAAGTTGTTAGGTCCTTTCAAACCAAAGTTGAAAAGAAATGAAGGAACAAGGAAGGTCTCAACTAAGGATAGAAAAAGAAATGAAAAGAGATGGATCTGGGTGACTGCTTTTGACAAAAATGGCAAGAAGATGATCATTAGTGGTTTAGGGGCGACGCTCAACAACTCTCCATTATCTCATATCAATGGTGGGCCTAATAAGATTAGGGAATCATCCGAGCCTAGGGGAATACAACGTCTACAAAGACCAATTATGATTACGAAATTCAAGTTTCATTGTGTCCAAAGAGTTTAGTCTCCGTTGTAGCAAAGAAGTCGGAAGGGGAGAAGGAGACGGGTGTCAACACCCGATTTTTGCTCAGTCCGCAGCCCAAACCCCCAATTTACYCCGAACACTTGATCAAACTATTTTGATCTCTCCGAAACACCAAAAAACCCAAAGAACCCGAATTTCAACCCAAAAGCCCTCCGATTCACCATTAAATCTGCTAGGTACCAATACGATGGCCCCGATTAACCCTCATTTACAACTTGGCCCTTAGATTAGACACCACCATCAAACTCCAAGCATACTAAAACACCTACCCGTGAAATTTAAACCCTGGATTCCTCCATTTACCCTTCCATCAAACCAAGATTCCCTTTCGAGCCCCCTCATTAGCCTGAAGCACCCACAACCCAGATCTCCTTGACCATAACACCTCTGAGCCAATCAAACCATTCAATTAAACCCTAGGCACATCAAACATCTACCTATAAAGTTTCAATCCAAGATTCCTCTGTTTCCCCCTTCATAAAACCAAGATTCCATTTTAAACATAATATGCTCCCCATTTCCAATTCTCCACTTGATTCATTCACATATTTCTTTATTTTTTTCTTTTCTTCTWCTTCATTTTGGTAGATTTGTTTTCAGCCTAGAGCTTGAACAAAGCTACATCAATAAAATGTCACACAACCCTATTCTGTCTCACACTTTTTTTCTTTTTCCTTTTTTTGTTTTTTGAAGACATTAAGTGGACCAAAGAGGCCAAGACACCAACTGTTGGTTGTAGCTTCAGCCTTCAAATTCAACTCTTTAAGTAACATCAATCAGTCTATATTCTATCTAACTTGTCTTCTTTTGATAAATGATTTATTGATTTTGTTTTTTGAAGGCATTTCTTTTCACCCAGCTGTACTTTATTTCCATGTCCTTAGTCACGCCTCCACGTTTTAAAACATTGGTTTTGAGTAAGTGACCTTTGCTTGGTCACATATTTCTTTTTCCGTTTCAGCCCACATAAAGTTCTGGTTAACAAAGGTTAACATGGATGTTGTTGTAACATGTGGCGGCCTAGTAGGGGCATTTCTGGCTTTTACTATGTTATTTGTTATAAGCTGTCGCCCCAAATATAAATACTAACTCAGGCGCCGCCAGCCACATATTGAATAGAATTCTTTTTGTTCTTCTCTCTTTTTCCTCTCTTCCTCCTCTTTTTCTCTCTTTCAGTACTGTCGAACTAYATGGTATCAGAGCGCTGATCTGGGCACAACCTTCTCAGATCGTGTCTTTTTTTTCAATTGAAATTTTTTATTGGAAGAGGAGGTGAAGACTCCATCGTGTTTTTTTTTTATTGGGTGCAACCTTCGGTCTTCGTTTTTTTTTTTCTTTCTTCTCTCTTGGTCGCTGTACCAAGAAGTTTGTGGTGGCAGCCRAATGCAGTAAGGGTTTTCTCTAGTTTTGTGGTGGTAGCCAAATGCAGTAAGGAGTTTTTTCATAGGCTTGTCATGGCAGCCGAATGCAGTAAGGAGCTTTTTCTAAGGTTTCTCTATGGACTGTAGATCGTGGAAGCCAGGTATGTACTATTACATTCATATGTAAGTATATGACCACTGTGAATGTCACAGTTTTAAGGTTTAGGGGCTGGTAGTCTCCTCTTATAAGCTGAAGTCTTTCGGCTAGGTTTATTGACCTACAGTCCGGCTGAACCTATATTAGGAGCCTTCTTAGATTTCAGAAGTACAAACCTTCTATCTCAGTTTGATTTTTTGAAAAACCAGCAGTAAAGTTTTTGAGGAAAATGGCTACTGAGGATTCAGCAACCTCCGGTATTACTTCCCATCAAGGAAACCTAAATGGGGGAATGGATAGCATGAATTTCTCTATGTCTATTACCCCCTTTGATGGTCTAAATTATCTGGAATGGTTCAAAGGCATCAAACTGTATCACAACTGAGGGGAATGTTGGTTACATAAGTGGAAAAATAAAAGAACCAAAGTCTGGTACTGCTGAACATGACCGATGGGATCAAGAAAACAGCATGGTTATGTCATGGTTGTTAGGTTCCATGCTGCCTCATGTAAAGAAAAATTTCATATGGGCTGACACAGCTTGTGAAATTTGGGAACAAGCCAAGGCAACCTATTCTAAACAGAGGCACTTTGCCAAGATTTATCAGCTTCAAGCAGGATCATCTACTTGTAAGCAAGGCGACCGTAGCCTATCTACATATTATTCAGCCCTTACATCCGTCTGGAAGGAACTGGACTATTATCAGACTATTGAGTGGAAGAATGATGAGGATGCACAAGCCTACAAAAAACTTGTCTCCCAACAGCGGGTTTTTGCTTTTTTGCATGGGCTGAATCTGGCTTATGAGCCTCTTCGGATGCAGATTTTAGGAAATATGGAACTTCCTTCAGTTTAGGAAGTATATGCCCTAGTCCAATCTAAAGAGAGAAGGAAAAATCTCATGAATGTTTTTGAGGGGGAGCAACCTATTGCCCTGGCTGCAAGAGGGGGTAACATTGGAGTGAAAAAGGGGGAATCAAGGAAAGGTGAGGACAAGGAAAAATTG